ATTTCATAAATAAAAAAAAAACCAAAAAATTAATTTTTTTTTGCTCATTACTTTTAATTTCTCTGTTACGCCATTGCCTTGTATTTTCTTATAGACATTTTTTTAAGTATTCCTAGAAACATTATTATGTTACCTTCACATAAATATAAGTAAAAATAAAAATTTTTACAAAGTTATAAATATATAAATAAATATTAACTTTTTTTTGTTATAATTGAATTGAATTCATATGATAGACAATTATTTTCTCTATTATAAAAAAAGTATTATTTAAATATTAATAGAAAAGTTTTTAAATTAAAATTATAAAACGTCTTAGAGGGGAGATACAACTTTCAAAGAATCCTTGATTATGCCACTGTTAAAATATGCATTTTCGCTAATTAAAATTAGTTAAATATTTAATGTTTTATTTAGAATAGCACAAGTAAAGGAAAAAAAATTTTTAAATGTATTAGAAAATTTGATTATAAGCGTGTATTGAAACTTATTTTTAATTAATTTTTATTAGTAATTGTGAATTATTAAAGAATATTTTCCCGTGAAATACATTTTCGAAATTTTTGGTTGGTCGAGTATTACAAATAGGGTAAAATAAAACTATTATGTACACAAAACAAAAAAAAAATTTTTTTAAATAAATTTATGAAAAATTATAATATAACTTGTATTTGTTTAATAGTATCTGATTATTTCGAGGTTATAAAAAACAGGTAGAACTCCATTATCATAAGATACAAACGGTGCGGTACAACATTAACAGTACTTTGTAATATGCGGAGCAATTAAATATCGATTTCATGACTTGTATTTTGACAAATTGAAGCATATTTAAAAAATTGTAATCCAAAAGATAAATAATTGAATATTGAATCAAAATTATTAGTTAATCAAATATAAATAATATTTGATTTAACAAAAAATTATCATTAATCTTCAAATCATTTTTAAGATTGCTAAGGAAAAATTGTTAGCACAAATAAATGACAATTTATTTAAAAAAAACCCAGCACAGTGGGGTGGCGGCACAGTGGAGTCGTGGCATAGTTGGGTCCAGTATAGATGATATCTGACAGTGATTAAAATCACTATCATAAAAAACGCTTCAATGCAAATCTGTAGATAGTGTTTAATTAAAAAAAAAAATTTGTTAAAATAGCATATTTTTAATATTTGCGCATAGAAGATAGGTCGTCGGGACAAATTTTTTTTTTCATTTTATATTACATAAAATAAGCTTTAATTTGATATATGTTTAATGGACGCAGTATTTCCGGAACATTTTCAAAAATTAAGTTGAAAAAGTTAATTTTTGTAAAAAAGTTGCTATTTTAAATCCCCCCCTATGAGCAGGTTAAGTGATAGATTTTCAAAAAAATGATATCAAATGAAAGGTAAATATCTAAGGTTTTAGTATAAAAAAAAATTATGTTGATTTGTTGATTTTTCAAAAAGTCATGGAAGTTTTAAGAAAAAAAAGTGAAAAAATTTCAAAAATTAGCGATTTTTTAAATTTGTAATTTTTTTGGATATTTCCCCCATTTGCGAGGGAATTTTTAAGGGTAATGTCTTCAACTAGATACGATTTGTGATCTTTTGACATATTTTTGAAAGAAATCGGTCCAGTGAGAGCTGAGAAAAAGTGGCAACAGAGATAAAAAAAAATAATAATAATAAAAAATAAACTTATCATAGTAAAATTAATACCTTCTCCACTTCGCATCGAAGCTAAAAATTAAAATTTAAAATAGAATCCATTTTATAGACTAGACGTAGACATTGGAGACAAGTACTTTTTGAAAGATNTTATTACATGATTTAGTACTCACATAAAATTTAATTTAATTTTAACTTAATGATGTCTTTATAAAATATTTTAAAAATAATTATGATGAAATTTTAAAGAGTCGGCTAGACCTAGTGAGTAGAAACGTATGTTTCGGGGCACGGAGTCCTGGGTTCAATCCCCAGAGTTCCAACGAGATTTTTCTTGCGATTTTTTTATTGGTGATGTCTGGTTTCTGGTATAAGTCGGCCATAATTGGCTTAGCCAAGAACCATATTCGATTCCCTAACATGTAAAAGAGGACTACCGCCCTCTTTAGTATGTTAAGTTCGGTAAATAGGATGTAATTATTATAAAAATCATATTTTAACCATAAATAAAATAGGATTTTTAAAAAGTCATTACACACTGAAATCTCCTTTTTTCCTCCTGCACCAAAAAACTAACTTAATCTAATCATATTATTAAACTTTCATTGTGGACTGTTTTTCATTATAATTCTACCCTTACGAATAAGTAAAATAGGAAATTTTTATAAGTAAACTAGCGAAATTTTTTTATAGTTTATTCTGAACAATGGCTACGCTACATCGATAAGAGCAACGGCCTCTCCGTGGAATGTCCCTCAATTATAGTGAAGCGCTTGAATTTTCTTTAATTATATAACATTTTTTCAAGAAATAAAAAAACATTGCAATTTAATGTAATTTTTATAACGGCTTTTCTGAAATAATAGTTAATTAAAAATATTTGAAGTGTAGAGGAGTTATTTTTATATATCACTTTAATATTATACCTAAGCTAAATTAATACATTTAATGAGTAAGTACTATTAAGTACTAATTAAACACAAGTATAATTATTATACTTTCTTACCTACTACCATTAATTATCAATCAAAGCACGATTATGTGAAATAAATTATCTATATATACGATTATATTATATTATATTGTATTATACGATAAAAAAAACAGCAATAATGATCAATCGATATCTTTGACACACAAATTTGACTGAATATAAAATATTATGCATAACTTAGTATATACTAAGTTAATAAGTAGAGTATAGATTACTTAAAAAATAAATTAAAATCTTTTGTACTACAAAATTATAAGACTTGGAGATTCATAAATTTATTAGTATTGATAAAGTTTTAGTTTTACAAAAAAGATAATTTCAAAAATATCGTTTACTATTTACTTGTATTCATGTATATTTTTAACTTAAAATAATAAATAAATAAATTTCAATCGTCGATACACTGACTAGTCATGCGCTGTATCATGTTTTATTTACTACGATCAGAAGCTTTATGTAGCTGTGTGGGAGATGGATCCTTTAAATCAAACAGGGTCATTAACCCAACGTCATCAATATGTTAATCTAACATTCCTGACAGGAGACAAAGTACGTACATGTCTAATTACGTTAAAATTGTAACATATCCACAGACAAGATATCTTTTAAATTGTCAAAAATATAACTCATTAATTATACTAATCACTACTTCCATATCGATTTTTCACTATGAAAAGTTTAAATAAATATGAACATTTTAAAAACTTATTTTTTCATAAATATTTATTTGAAAATTTAAGTTCCTTTCAACGTCTAGATTTTTTCTATAGAAAAATTGTCAGTATTGCAACATTACTGCTAATATAGCTATTCTTTCCAAATACATTGTATTGTAATTTAAGTAACAGTTTGAAACGCTATACTTATGATTGTTTTAATTTTCCATAAACTGCTGAAGAGATAATATCTTACGTGCTCAGAAAAAAAATGGTGAGAGCGACTGATCTGGTAAATTTTATCAAGTAAGAAATTATTATAGTATGTTTATTATACCACGAATTTTGATCCTCCTCTTTAAGAGTTATACTAAGAAACGATTTAGTGTATTCATATTAAAAAATATAACTAAATTTAAAATTTTTGATCAGAAGAGCTATAATAAAATACTTTATTCGGAGGCAAATTATATATATATACGAAATTTAAATTGTCAAATTACCTGACTTCTCCATTATTTCTTATTCAGTTTTTAAAAAAATCATTTGAGGGGTGTAATCTTACAACATTTAAGCGTAGGTGTGTGATTTCATTAATTCCCTATTATTTTTATTGTTATTAACATAAGCACAACTAGAGAGACTATAGAGGGTTAAGTCCTAAAAAATGTTAAAAATTAACTCAAATAGTCTAAGTATATGATAAGTTTAATCAATTTTTAAAAATTCCAAAATGACTAAAATTATAAAAAAACATCACTTGACTTTTCCATGTTTTCCAGAATTGCGACACCTATGATTAATGTTACACAAGGATAGGGGGATTTCCTTTTCCTATAGTAAACATTAATATAATAATTGTCATTTTTAACAGATAAAATTTGTTCTTTTATATAATTTTTAGATTCGCTTTTATAATATTAAAATTTTTTTAAATTAATTATAATTAATAACTCAATATATAAATACAATCACTACTAAATAATAACAAGAAAATTTATGCTCTTTGCTATTTAAACTGTCTAAAACAGAAGTAGTAAATTTTATTACCTCTTAACATTCAAGTGCAATAATGACTTTCATCACTTAGATCAAAACCAAAAAATTTAATTAATTAAAAAAACTCGTTAAATCTCATTTATCAAAACATTTTTTACAAGTTAGAAAACTAATAATAAATGTAAATTACAAATTTTCTTGGTTTTCAAATAATTTTCACAAAGATTTATCATTGTTTTACACAGATATATAATAAAACATTACATATGTGTTGTACTACAATTAGATATCATATTATAACATAACACATATTTAGTAAAGAAAAAATTGAAGGACTATCCATAAATAAAAAAAAATTATATTTTTAAAAATAAAACAGACGAAATTGTTTTCTAGTTCTTCTGATATGCATGAATAGTGTAACTTTCAGTAAATAAGCTATGTGATATAATCTTTTAACCAATAATATTATGATTAGATATTTGTTCCTAACTAAGAATTTAGATATTACCCATGGTTGATAACAAAATATTTATTCAATGATCTAAACTTTAAAAAATGAACAAAAACTTTATGAAGACTCGTCATTAGTTAAAATAATTATAATTTCATAATTTCTCAATAACCGAACAAATAGTACGCATGTGCAAAGAGCGAAGTTCTACTATCACTAACAATATCTGTGATAGTGACCAGTTACTCTTATCATAAAAGTAAATATACTGTATTCCTGTAGTCAATTAGTTAAAAGAATGCGATAACTATTTAGGTTAAAGAGTTAGTGTAATTTTAAGTGATGTAAAAATAAACCTTACGTTTTTTTTAAATGAAATTAAATCTTTTTTATATGATACATAAAAAAATCTATAAATTTCCATTTATAATTCTATGTTTTATAGGATATTTTTAAGATAAAAATGTCCGAAGATTGTTCGACGTTACAAGAGGAAGAAAGAGAAGCTTTATTATCTATTTACGATGGCGATGAATCTTTTAAAGAAGTGTCACCCACAGTCTATCAATATAAGGTAATTTTTTTTAGATTTCATTTAACCTCTTTTTGTACATATTTGGTGTCTTAATGATAATAATCAATATGATAGTTGTATTTAATGCATATTACTTTTTATCTACTTCAAAGCTATTTATATATATACTCATTAATTTTTAAATGTATTCATAAGAGTTTTATGTATTGTTAATTTGTCTATTTATTATTTTGGCCATTCTCTTTTATACTTCTATTTTCATTAATTTTTTCTTTGAATAACATTAAATTATTGAGGTTCATTCTTGCATTATTAATAAATATTTCTTACCAAAATCTTTTCATTAAGTTTTACTATGATTTTTTGGCTTCTCAGAGACTCATAATTTTAAGTTTCATATGAAAATCATATTTTGTAAAATTATTTGAAAGAAAAAAAATTATTTCCATTAATAACAAAAAAAAAAAAAAATTGAGTTATTTTAGTTAATCAAATATTTTATAATGTACATTTTATATTTGCATTTTAATTTTTAGTATGGTGAAGATGGTGATAACAAATCATTTTTGTTGGAGGTGGAGTGGCATTGTAATTATCCGACAGAAGCACCAAAAATAAATTTAGATACTTTTTATAATAGACATATGTTTGTATTTTAAGAACTTAAGTTATGTAAATAAGATTAAGAACTAATTTTTAAAAAAATTTTAGAGTGAATTCTGTTAAACAAAATATAAAAGATAGAATTGTAATAGAAGCAAATCATTATTTAGGGGAGTCTATGACTTTTACATTATTTGAGTTTCTTAAAGATTTAGCAGAAGAACTGACAGCAGATCAACCAACTAAAGAAGTAATTGAAAGCATGACAAAACTTGTAAGTATATATTTATTTATATCTAACCTAAAGCGCAAAAGTTTTTAAGTCTTAAACATTATCTGCAGTAAATGGAACATATTTTTTGTGACAAAATATGAATTTAATTATCATTGTATAAAATTTTTATATTGTTCTTCTGAAATTATATTTATGGCGATAGAAATTAATATATAAGCATTGTGCAATTTTGCATTATTGTTTAGTTTAATATATGGTTCAATATTCCTATTAGGTAGGAGTTAAATTATACTTCAATTTAAATTTGATATTTAAAATATAAAAATATTATTTTTATTTAACACTTCATTATTTATACACATACAAAGTTATTTGTATGTGTATATATGTTTATTAATAAATATTCAGTCTAATATCACTGTTATTGCTTATTCCACCAATAGTTGATAAAATATATAATTTCTAAATATAATTTGTGAATAAGAAATGATAATTTAGATATTTGGTTATTTGAAACATGTAATATATTTTATATTACATAAAATATAAAAAATAAATATTTCTTTTTTTGCTTTTTATGATGAAACTTTATTATAAGTAATATTTCTTTGTTTGAATTTTTATTTTTAGACAATTGAAAATGACGAAGAACTAATAAAGAAAAATGCTGTAAAAAAAGATTATATGAGTAAATCTCAAAAAAGAAAACAATGGGATCGCTTGGATGCCAAAGGAGAAAAACCTCGTGGTTACGATTGGGTTGATGTTGTTAAACATTTATCACAAACTGGATCATCTAAAGTTGAAATTTTGACTTAAATTAAGCAATTCTGTGATTTTTTTTTAGAAATATATAATATTAAATTATTATTAAACATTTTTTGTTATTGTGAAATTTAAAATATTAACCTTGAAACTTGATTACCATGAAGCTCTCCATTCTTCAACTACAAGTTGGTGATTATTACAATTCCACTCTAAAAATAAATAAAACTCATTACATTTAACATATGTCTGTTCTTCATAAATTATTAAAAAAAAATGACCTAAAATGATTATTTACGATAATAGTTAATAAGAAGAAGTGAAGTTAAATATTATTTAGTTTACTAAATTAAAAGCATCAGAAGATAATTGACTTAAATTTGCTTTGGTTTCAAGTATTTTGTTAATTTAAAATAATAATTAATCAGAAAATTGATGTTTAAATGTTTAAACAATATAATTATTATGATTTATAATGAATTTATATTTTCAATCATCATGTTTAACATCCTCTTTAAAAACTATTGCTAGTACTACAGAAGATGAGAAAACTTACATTGCTCAGCGAAATGGAATAAAACCTTGGTGTCTATGCACCAAGACATCATGCATTATCAACTAATCTAGTAAGGCCCCCTAAAATTTATATTTTCGATATTAGATTCAATTTTATATTTTAGATATTCTTCAAGTAATGAGTTGACTACAATAATAATAATTATTAGTTTTATTCAACAAAAGTAAATAATTAGTGAATTTATTAAAGTTTTAAACATGTTAAAATTTTCCAATTGATATTATCATTTATTTATTTCTAAAATTTTCTATGAAAAAGTATGTATATATTCAAAAAATAAGATAAAATATACTAAACAATTCTCGACTACTTAGAAAAATTTGGATTAAATCAAAAACATCAACTTGTATAGAATAAGTAAACTTAACTCATTATGTCCTATATATATCTTTATTTTTCCAAAATATTTTGTACAAATTTACCTTTTTTTCTCCATTATTTTAATGCATATTCCCTTTTGGTTCAAAATAAAGATAAAAGAAATATAGTGTTATAGATTTTATTCGTAAATAAACAAATTGATCCCTCTTTATCTCAAGATTTAACAGTATTAATTTTATGTTGGGCTCACTTATTAATACTAGCTTGTTAATATAAAATTTATACTATTTTAAGATTGAAAAATGTGTTTTTGATATCTAAATTTTAGAAAAGATTGATGTATAAAATGGCCATAAGGTATCCATAAAGAAGATTTAGTGGTCATGAGATTTTTTATGCTCTTTTAAAGAATTTTTTTTTTTTTAATTGAATATTGTACTTAGTTTTAATTAGTTCCTGAAAAAAGAAAAATTTTGTTTTAACTAATACTTTCTGATATGTTTTTCACTGGCAACATTTTAAAAATTAAAGTTTAAATTATTATTCAATTATTCTTATCAATACATGCAGCCATTACACTTGTATGTTAATATAGTATTTCCTCTATAGGTGAATATGTATAACCAGAACTATTAAAAGGAGAAAAGGAGTTAACCAAACAGATATTTGTATGTAATTTAAAAAATCTGGATCATAAAGAAATTATCCAAAGACCAGAAAATTGCAATAGCATGCCAATACATGGAGAAGGAGATACTTAAGATTTTAACAATTAAAGAGATATTTTGTAATTAAATTTGATGAATAAAATACTATCCAATTGTATCCTATCGAAAATAAAAGAAAAAGCAGATCAGATAATTGGAAACTATGAAGGTGGATTTACGTTGTTAATTCAATAATCAATCAGATGTTTGTACTTAGGACATGCATGGAGAAGAAAGAACAATCTCTTAAAAGTAGTAATGGAACAAAAACCGCTGTAAAGATCCAAAAAAAATGGGAAAACTTAATTAAGAAAAGTGGTTATTTGATGAAGGCACATATTGAAAAAAAAAGTAACAGATAGAGATGGATGGAGGTAAGAGAGTGCATTGTGATAGGCCTAATAACCAGAAGAAGAAAGTGAATATTTAATGGTGCACTAATTAATATTAGTATAAATTAAAACATACTTGTGTAAATCTGGTATTACTTACCGGCCATTTTGGCATGAAGTAAGAATTTATCAAAGTTTTTATTTACAAATTCACAAGCCAATTTTGCATACTCAAAATGTGCCTGACCAAATTGAACAGTTTTACTTATATTATGTTTCATCTGCAGAATAAAATCAAAATTATAAATTAAAACATATAAATTTTATAATTCTAAGTTATACTTACAGAACGAAGTAAATTAAGTTTGATAAATGTGTATGGGTTGGCTGGACAAATTAATTGAGCCAATATACTAGCATGGAAATAGGCTTTCAAAATGTTTTCTGTGTTAATATTTTTATCCAATACAATATGAATATTATTATTATGAGGATTAATAATGATTATGTAAAGATAATCTTTACACAGTTCCATATAGTTAATTAAATCCCATGTATTAATTGTATTTGAATTTAGTAATTGATGAACAGATGTTCCCAATTGTATTTCAACAGAAGATAATTTTACATCTAAAATAATTAAATTAATTATTAAAAAAAGAAAAGGAAAATATTCATTAATTAAAAACGTTTAATACCATTAAAAAAACAGGCTTCTCTTTTATTAATAAATTCTGGACTATAAACATTGTGGTTTTGTAAGTCATTAGACAGATAATATTTTAAAGCTAAATCAAAACGTGCTATGTTAAATACATTAATATTTAAACTTTTCACTGCTTTGTAATTAGCAAACAGATGTAAGGCAGTTACTATAAAATATATTATCCAAATCAATCTATAAAATATAAATAATATAATTGTTATTTTAATATATGAAAATGTAAGTTTTTTAGTTATATACAGCTACATACAAATTATGATTTTCAACAATTGGCAGCATAACTAATCCAATAAGGAATGCCATTAAGTTGATGCAAGTTTCTTGGCTACCATCTTTTGCTGAAACATCAGCCATATTTCCACGAATAGCCTATAAAATAAATGAAGAATAAATTTATTTTTTAAAAAATAATTATAAAAATAACTCTTAGATAGAATTTAATGGAAATAAACCTGATGTTGAGTTAAAGCAGCACGAGTTGCACCTCCAGCAACTCCTACAATTGATTTAGCAGAACTTGTAAATGTTAATACAGCTAAAGAAAATTGTCTAATATAAGAAAAGTTAAGAAGTAGTTCAGAAAATATAGCAAGGTCATTAAGGACATCAGCTCTAAGCCTCCACTTCTTACAACAAGTATCTAATTCTGACCTAAAAAATTGTAATTTTATTAAGTCAAATAGTAACTTATTTAACATTAAAATGTAGTTGAACTTGAACTTAGTTTACTTAAAATGTCAATACCTCAAATTTTTTCTCCAGCCCCTAGAAATTTCTATTTTGTATATTACTATTATTTTATTCCTTTTTTAACTTTAATTTGTAAGTAATTAAAAATTTTTTACAGATTCTTTAAACTCTAAGTTAAACAAGTTAGTTAATTACATGAGATTAATGTTTGGAATTCACCATTTGCTTAAAGCAATTTATTAATTTAAATTACGCTCATTATAGAAATTATCACTGTATTTAAATATATTAAAATTAATCATTACCCTTTCCACCAAGCAAATGTAATACGACCTATCATACCAGTACCATCTTTAAGTATAAACATAATAGAAGCAGCAAGAGCTGTAGCTTGAGAATCTCCTACACCAACACCTTTCATGATAGCCATTGTAGATAAGATATTTGCTATTGAACTGCAAAATGCCTAAAAATAGTTTATTTGATAATTATCAAAGTCCATAATTTTTAAAATTCAAAATTTCATTTGAGCTAGAATGATTATGTAATAAAATATATTTAAAAAAAAATATAATGATATAGATTTAAGATATTAATGTTAATTTATAATGAATGAGTAATAACAAACTTAAGAATATTTCTTCAGTTACATTGATAAAAATCCCTTTATTCCTTGAAAAACTATTACTAAATGTATGCTTTATTAATGCTTAATGAATTCTGAAATTTTAATTTTATAATATAATCAAAAAATAATATTACCTGTAATGTGTCCCAGATTTGATATTCTATATAATCCGTGCTAACACTATTTGGAAATCCTCTTGGCAAAAATATATCTTTAAGTAAATTGATAGTTTTAGTATAAAGACCAATTGATTGTTTATATCTTTCAGACTCCAATATCAGCTGTCTCTGATCTAAGTAAATGTGTATATATTTACAGAATGTTCAGTAAGTAAGAAAAGGTCAGTTTTTACAAACAATGAGAACAAAAGAAAACTGTTCCCTTACTTATTAAACACTCTATATATATAAATTGTACATAAATGTATAATATACATTTAGTTAGCTAATTATACAGAGTAGTTATTTAACTATGGACAGATGTGTTATCTTTAAAATATAAAATATAATATGCTTTTTTCAGATATTAATAGTATCCCTTATACATTCTATTATTTACAAATAATCTCCTCTTTCCTCTTCAAAATTTTATTAACTTTGTTTAATTATATTAATATATCCCAATAAATATTTTTAATTGACATATGTAATTTAAAATAGTTAACACTTCACTAGACAGTAAATTTATTATCTATTAATATACTATTAAACCAGTACAGAATAAAATTGAATTTTTATATTCAATTTGAGATAATCACCTCTATAATAAAATATATATAAAAAATAAAAATATTTATAATTATATCTATATATTAATGAAAAAAATATTTCTAGTGATCAAACTAGAGTGCTTTAGAGATTCAAAAAAATGTGGTACTTACATTATTATTTTTTTTACTGTAATAAAATGAAATATACATTTGAAAATTAATAAAAGGATCTGTTTAAATATATTAATAATATAATAATAAATAAAAAATTAAGAACGCATTAATTGTGACAAGATTACTAAAAAATCAACTTTTAATATTGAAATTATTTACCCAAAATATTAAATAATTTTTAAATAAAACTATTAATCAATAAGTATTATTATGTTAATTTTTGTTAACTATCTTTGAATATTTTTTTTTTTTGTTGGATTCATTTATTTAGATGCATGCACCATTATTTAGCCAAAAATTAGTAGTGATAGTATGACATCACTAATAAATTAACACTATATGCATTTAATTTTAATAAAATCCATTGATTTATTTTAAAATCAAATAACCTATTTAATACTAGTTGTACACAGTAGACCTAATATCAAATAAATTATTTTTATTTGTTTTATAATATAAATAGGTATACATAATTTTATACTGCTTTTTTTATATTTCAAGCAAATATCACCTACATAAGTAATAATACTAAATTACTATTAGATGTTACCTTGTCGTTTGTAAATAATATTAGTTTTCTTTGGCCCATACTCTTCACTGAGTAATACCTCATGAGTTTCATTTGGCATCTGGCAAATTTTGATAGTATTTCAGTAGTATATCTTTACTTATATTTAGTAATTTGTTATATATTATATTTAAACATAAGTTTTTCTATAATACATACTAAAATGACAGTATATACTTTAAATTATATCTAAGAACAACCTAAATTTATAAGTCAGTATAGATCCTTAAAATATTTACATTAAATTTTATTTGAGACAACTTTAAAGTAAATTCACAGCAAAGGGGATATTATTTGGAGTAAGATTGCCAAAAATATTTTAAACTTAATTTGTGTGAATACTGATAAGTAGCGATAGTTTTACTCGCTATCTATAAATGATATGAATAAATTTATCAAAATTAAGTTCTCATTGTTTGGTTAAGTTTTGAGTGTGAAGATAACAAATGAAAACTACTATGAAGTTAGCAAAGTCTAACCAGATATAAGCACTAGTTACAGGCTAAATATTGCAGTCATCCATCGATAGAGAGCGTCACCTATTTTAAATAAAATATTATATAATATTAGACCAGATGTGGAATATGGTGGGAAATCCTGTATATTTAAAGATAGTGATAAATGAAATTATTTTTTTACATTTACTAGCGCTATATAGTATAAGTACATTGTAATTGTTTCATTGCATTTTCAATTTTTTTTTGAAAAGTTTTAACAAATTTTCTGTAGTTTTTGAAAACTTACATCACTGGTTAAGACATAATTTAATGATTATATCAATTTTTTATTATTACATATTAAAACTTAAGTAATATTTTTATATTATTAAATAATACAAAAATTAAATTAAATTATAATTAAAATTATGAGCTCCTAACAATTAATTTGATAATTTTGATTATGATCATTTCGAGTTGTTACATTTTAAATTGGATAGTCAATTAAATGAATATTACACCGGTTAATTTGAGATGAATAAGATTTTACACATAATTTTTTCAGTCAATCTTATTAAAGACAAAAGCAGAGATATTGTAATTTATTAATAGATTTGTATAATAACATATTTTTATATTTAATTATCTGTACTGTAATAAATCAAAAAGGAAAAATATATAATGGATTAAGAAGTGATTAGGTATGATGTAGTAAGAAAATATGATATTAATTAAATGGTATTAAAAATCCCTAAAATTAAAAATTTTCAGTTTCCTTTAATGATTTATTACGCAAAAACAAGAGCGTCCGCACAAACTTTTCGTGGGGGGAGGGTAAAATATTTTCTTGAATATAATTGTTTTTACTGTTGTTCAACAGTCCCAAGTATTGGAGAGGAATCTTTACCCAGGGAAATGTATTTTTTGAGAGACCTCGCCATAGGCGCAACTACGGAGGTAAGAAGGAGCTTAACCTCCTCAGCTGACAAACTGCATCATTTATACACTAACACTTTATAATGACTAGTATAATTTTAAGTTTTATAATAATTCGTGGCTAAAAAATAGTGATAATTATCATTTAATTCCGTGCTCTAATTATAATTAATTCAATAATATACAGAGTGATTCCTTTCTTCAAATATAAAAAACTTTAATTTTCTTTATTAGAGGAAACTAAAATTTTTTAGTTTGTTGATTGAAAAAAAATGTAGAAAAAAATCGTTTGCATATTTTTTTGCAACGGTTTCTTTTTTTAAACTATAACTTTTTTTAACTAGGATTTCAACTAATAATTCATCGTTAATTTGGTTTTCAGAATATTAGAAGCATTAATCTTCTATAATAGGTCATAAATTATTTTTGTGGTCGTTAACACAAGATAATTTTAGACATTGGCCGCTCAACAATGTAGAATCTTGCGTTGAATAAAATATTATGCGACTATTAATAGACATGAATTATTAAATATAATATTTCTATGCGATGGATAATATCGAGTAGTACCTTTGACAATTAACGACTAATATATTATAAGTAAAAAAATAACATTTATTTTTTTACTGAAGCGGTTTTATATTCGCGACTAAACCGCTTCGTGTGTAACCAGCTTATTAATTAATTAAATTACCTTCAATATAAAAATTTATTACACGATATTAATCATAATGTATTCTTAAAAAATGTTGTAAAATTAACAAATAAAAATTATTTGATATTTTATCTACAGAGTAAAATCTAATAATAAAAATTAATCAAATTCTTTTAATATGTAATCATAACTAAGATTTTTATTGACTGAACATAAATGTATTTTAATGAGCAGTAAATAAACAAAATATTTAGTTTTATAAATTATATGCATTTATACACTTTGAAGGATCCTAAGTTTTTGCAACTTAAGTTATAGGATTATATGGTAATGCAGATATATTTTTTGTTTTGAAAGGAGGATTAACCTTAGTAATCAACCCCAAAACTAAAACATCGGGATAACACTACTTAGTTTTCAAATAAATTAAGAAAAAATTGTACAGAATGATGATGTGTTCGAATTAACTTATCAAAATGTTAAAATGCATTTAATTTACAGCTCTGATAATATTAATGAATAAAATAAAAAACTTGATTATTAATAGTCGGCGTGAGGAAGGTTTTTAAACTATGAACTTTTTTTAATGTGAAACATGTAATGCTGACCAACAGCTTGTCAGTTGTAGCGATTCTTTTCTTTCCACTCGGCTTACGAAACTCCCACTCTCTAGTGTAATAGGCTAGCTTTTTATGATTAAATATATACTATGTTAAAAGTATGGTAAACGTAAGTAAAGATGAAGTTTTAAATAAAAGTTTGAACAAATATGATAACACGCCATTTTTTTGTTTTTAGTTCTATTTTTTTGCTTCACATGTTTTTATTTTTTAATATGTTTTTAAGGCAGTACTTTTTTTTTAATATTATTATGTTTCATGTAGTTTTAAGTATATAAATACAATTTATACTATATATTTTAACTTATCAAAATAATAACCTTGTAAAAAAATATATTTTTTTTGAATCGACTTCATTAATTATTGGAAAGACTCAAGTATGCCAAATCTTAAATATATAATTAAAATTAAGCTTTAAAACCTTTTAGGAGGATTTTTATTTTCGATAATATTGTGATGTATACTTAATATAATTTAAAACAAATTAAAATTTTACGTCCTTCATTTATAAATAGAAAAAAGAAAAAAATTATTAAAAAATAAAAAATGTATTTATTTAATTAGAATTAACAGACAATTATTTATAACAATAATTAAAATCATTTTATTACATGAGACCAACTCTTAATTAAATTTAAAATTTAGTAATGAAGTTAAAAGATAATAATAACAGTAAAATTATATATACCTTAATGACTCGGATTTGTTGATATTTTTTTATAAAGATTGGTTTTTTATGTAAATTTTATATTGAACTATTATTTAATTAATGTAGATTATAACATACAAGTAGTCTCAAATAAAATTTAAACAGAAAATTTTAAACTTTCATCAAACAAGAACAATTTCTGCTAAAAGTAGAACAAAGAAGAAAAACAACAATAATACAGAGAAAGTGGAGATTGAATTTTGGTACCAAATATTACCTAAGCTGACATAGTAAACATCATACATTTTATAAATGCGATCAATTAACAATAGTAATGGGCGTTAAATAACAAAGAAAATAACCTTACCGGTGGTCTATTAATAGCAATAATTTAAGTTTACTTTACACCAATGGGGAGCGTCTCATGATTAAAGCGACGGGACAATCGCAGAATGTTTTTAACATTCTGCACAATTCAATTGTACAGACTTATGAAAGTAACGTTGCCGTTTGCTTATAAACTTTTTTTCAATAATTTGGGCCGTAGAAACATAACTGGGTGACTATTAGATAAAATAATAGCCGTTTATCTTACCATTTGGCCGCCGAGTCATGTTCTCTAATGCAGTATATTAATTATACTATACATCATTGACACTTGATTTTGTTGAGCCAATTATTTAAATTTGTCGCGATTGCCTCAATTTACTTCAGTATTCATTTTATCATATATCTCGAATTCAAACTAATTAATGAATTTGTCGAGTTATTTAAATTTATTGATCTCAATATATTTATGACTATTTCTATTATTAGACGTTTCATGGCCGCGCATTTCCATCTGCCAAAATATAAAAATACTAATAATTTCTAATTACTAATAATTTTTTTAATTAGACCATTTTCTATTTTATAAGTAAGTTAAAAATGTATGCTGCCATTTAAAAAAATTAAGTTGGTATCCTTATAAGAGGTTGAGGACGAACCTAAAAAGTATTTAACCATCTATAAATTGAGATTTACATAGTAATCAACAAAGTCAAAAAAAATATTTCTAAAATTATTACTTGAGGAGAAATTTAGTGGTCAATAATAAATCAATGACTCTTTAAAGCTGATTATACAACATTTAAAAAATATTTTTTATAATATTTCACACAAATTTTATTTCACAATTATAATATAATATAATATAATATATAAATTTATTAAATTGGTAAATTTGTAAACAATTGTTTATATTTTTTAAATTTTAATTAAAAGTTATTACAGTATATAACCGATTAAATTATTAGTAATTGCATTATTTATATAATATCAAATAATATAGAAATAAAAATTTAAACATGTATCAAGCATAACAAACATTTCAGCTAAAAAAAGAACAAAAAATTATAACTTAAATTTAGAAAAAGTGGTGTTTGAAAATATTGTATCTAAAATTGTCTAAGCCGACAGAATAAATAACAAAAATTTTATAACTGCAATTTATTTACTATTCCAATAGAAAAATAACTCAACCGAGTTATATTTAAGTGACAAATTTAAACAATAGTGTTCAGCAGATGCAACAGACATTTTAAAAACGGCAACAAATTCAAATAAAGTAAACGTCAATAAGCCAAGTGGCGACGTGAGGAATTTATAAGCTTTAAAAGTGATTTCAATTGTCTGTCCCTTTTAATTATACAGACTTATGGAACAACGTTGCCGATTTGCTTATGAACTTATTTCTAACCCGCGGGACATGAAATAACACAACTGAGTAACTATTGAAAAATGTAGGATCTTTTTTTTTGTATCTTATCATTTGGCCGTCGAGTCACGTTTTCTCATGCAATATTTTCATTATACTATACATTTATGATACTTTAATATTATTCAGCCGATTATTTGGATTTGTCGCTCTTATTACTTACTCATTTGACTTCAGTAT